CATGGTTTTTCATTGCCAAAGTAAATAGTCCAAACCATACTCTACCATTTTAGTCCATAACGAGTCTTTTGTTGTTGGGCTAAAAACCTCCAATCCAATCACAGCGGCGGAAGTGAAATCAAACACACAAGAGACAACAATTTAACGTGGTTTGGTCCAATCGACCTACATCCACGGATGAGAAACAAGATCCACTAGTTGTAGAGAATTACAAACTTACATCAAATCATCAACCTCACTCAACAATCAATACTCATAAGACACTCTCAATCTCCTCTAGTCTTATGAAGTATTCTCAACCCAAATAAACACAAATCCAAACCCTTGTGTACCCTTTCAACATAACCAAACACATACCCATCAACCCAAACAAACACAAACCCAAACCCTTGTGTACCCTTTCAACATAACCAAACACATACCCATATGCTCCCATACATCATACCTATGTGGACCCTCTCAGTCTCCTCTAGTCCACTCACAAACAAACATACACACCCATAAGACGTAGAGCCAATACTCCTATGGGATGTCTATCCCACAAAAACCCTACAACTCTCTTACATCTTTTTCTCATACCTAACCCTGTAAAGACTTCACATATTTATAACCATACAAACTTGCCCATTAAGAATCCCTCTCCTCTTAGAATTCTTCTCTTGCAAGTCAAACTTACCTATTAAGAATCCCTTTTCTCTTAGAATTCTTCTTTTATAAGTCTTCTTGTCCATCAAGCAATATCTGACAAATTTCAAACAAATCTCTAACAAATCTCAAACAAATCTCTTATGGGATTTGAGTCAATATTCCCAACATCTGTAACTTGCATACAACTCTAATTTGTGATGAATTAATAAAGCCTGAAAGAATGTTTATGAAAACTTCTTCTGCTAGATTCCCATGAAGAAAAGCATTTTTTACGTGGAACTGATGCAATGGCCAATCCAAATTTGCAGCAAGAGACAACAAGACTGTAACGGTGTTTAACTTTGCTACTGGTGAGAATGTTTTCTGATAATCTATACCATATGTCTGAGTATATCCTTTCGCAACAAGTCTCACCTTGTATCTCTCTATTAACCCATCTGCTTTGTGTTTAATAGAGAAAACCCATCTACACCCCACTGCTTTCTTCTCTTCAAGTAGTGGCATAAGTTTCGATATGTTATTCTTTTCCAATGTTGCCATCTCTTCATTTATTACTTGGATCCATTTAGGAGCATTCAAGGCTTCTTGTACAGTATTCGAAACATGTTCAGAAGATAGGTTGTGCACAAAAGCTTTAAGGGGTGGTGACAATCTCCTGGTGCAAACATAATTTACGAGTGGATACTTTATCTTTTTTTCTCCAATGTCTGGTGAGTACCGATAGAATCATCAACAGTATTATTGGGAGAAGAGTTTGGAGATTGTACCTCAAGAGTATTCTCAAGAGAGTGGTTGTGCACTAAAATGTGAGAAGTAGGCTGTTCTTGCTCAGTTAGAAACTGCTATTGTTCACATCTAGTGTCAAAGTCATCATTTTCTTTTTCCTGGCCTATTGGCGTCATTATCTATTCCATAGGAACTTCTTGATCACCTTGAATATCATCATGCCTTGGTTGAGTTCTAACCGAAATAGGTAGTGGTTGAGTTATCTCTTAGTTGGTATCCTCAAAACCTAGCCAGTTTTCCCAATTGCCCACATTCTGCTCTTCACATAATACCTCTCCCGGAAGAGAAGAATGGGAATTTGATTTTGGAAAAAAGTTTTCAGATTCCAGCATAAAGACGCCTGGTAGTGGGATCATAGCACCGATAACCTTTTTATATGACGCATATCCTAAAAAAATATAATGAACAACATATGGATCCAATTTTGTTTGTTGGTTTTTTATGAAGGTGAACGTAAGCAACACAGCCAAAAATTCTAGGTGTAAGCATCAAGATGGAAGGTAATGGCACATGATGAGCAAGAGCTTGTAGTGGAGTTTTAAAATTCAAAACTCGGGATGGCATCGATTTAACAAGTAAACAGCAGTGACAGCTGCATCTACCCAATATCGTTTGGGTGCATTTACTGATGTTAAAAAAGCTTGGGCTATTTCAAGGAGTATCTACTTTTCCTCTCCGCAACACCATTTTGTTTTGGTGTTTGAGTATAAGTGGTTTCATTAAACAGACCATGTTTTCAAAAATATTCTTATAACTCCTTATTGTCATATTTTCCACCATTATCAGATTTAAGAATTTGAAGTTTAGCAGAAAATTATGTCTTGATCATATTATGAAAAGAACGAAAAGTTCCAAAGACCTCATTCTTATTTTTTAACACATAAAGCCATGGTATGCGTGTGCAATCAATCATCTATAAAGGATACAAACCATCTAACTCATGAACAAATTAGAATAGGTGTCGGACCCCAAACATTTGAATGAATTAATGTAAATGGTGTCTTACATTTTTTTCAAACTTATTAAATAAGATACACGATGACTCTTGGGTAAAATACAAGTCTCACATTTAAAAGTATATTCATGTAGATTAAAGAACAAACTTGGAAACAAATGCTTCAAGTATGAAAAAGACAGATGTTCCAGTCGATGATGCCATAACCAGTTCTGTCATTTTTGGTCACTGGTTTGACCCACAGTATATGCCCAGCCAGGATTGAATCGTCCATGTAGTCCAACCATTCTCTTTTAGTACTACGACTAATGATCTCCTTGGTTAGGATAACCTAAAATAGATAAAAACTTGGATACATTAGGACACAATAATTTAAATCCTTAGTAACTTGGCCTGTAGATAATAAATTATTCTAAAGGGATGGGACCAATAGAGTATTTGGTAGAGTAAAAGAAGGTGAAAATGCCACTTTTCCAACCCCTGTAACTGAGTATGCCACTCCATTAGCATTAGCAAAACATGTCCATTTTGGTTGAGTAGTTTTAACAAAGTCTTGTGGATTGAATGTCATGTAATAAGTTGCCTTTGAATCAATAATCCAATCACGATTACCTCAGTCATTTAAAGCTACAGATTTGTTTGCAACAGAAGTAGAGATGTCCCCTTATGAAGAAGAGTTCCCTTTTTGTGTAATGGATAGTTGAGATTTAGTGTTCATGAATGCAGCTCGACCATTATTTTCTCCTACACCAGCTTCACATTTCTTCTTTGCCATGAGTTCATTCCACCACTCCGGATATCCATGCAGTTTAAACACGTCTTTCGTATGTTTCATATTTCCACAACGTGTACAGCCTCCTCTTTCTCCTTGTGACTTTGACTTTGTTGGTGTATTAGACTTTTCATTTTGAAGTAAGAGTTGGTGTTGTGATTTTTGTCCCTTTTTTGACAACATAACTACACTAGATGTGATATCCCCATCTCCTTTTGTTAACGTCACTACTTGCCATAAATCATCCCCGTGGACAAGTGCATAAGCATGCTCTACTATAAGAAATGGTTGAATTTGAAGTACATCTCCTCGAATTTTATTAAGTCGATCATCCAGTCTATCCAGGAAAGTATAATCTTTATCTTCCTATATAACAGAGTTATACTTTTGTATGTTAGTTTCACATTTCATCGGATTTGGGTGACGAAAATCAATTTCTCTCCAAAGGCCTTGAAGATTGTTGTAGTATGTTTCGATAGATCCTTCGCATTATTTGAGCCTCATCACCTTTCTTCTTAGACCATAAACTTGTGAGGTGTCAGTGCCATCAAAACATATCGTAGCAACAACGTCCTACACAACTTTAGCTGTTGGAAATATGATATAATTGCCGATCAATTTTGGATCCATGGAATTGATCAACCAGCTTTTCACCACTGCATTTTCAGTTCTTCATTTCCTAAAAGTGGAATCATTCTCTTGGGGTTGTGGAAGATCCCCATTTATATATCCCAGTTTGTCTTTCCTGGAGATGTACATCTCGACAACCTAAGACCAAAGACCGTAATTGGTATCGTCCAGTTTAATACCACTTGTTGCTCTACTAAGTTTGTAACCAATGGAGTCGGTGTTGATTCAACATTTGTGATATTTTAGAGGTCAAGTCTGTAATGATTGGGTTCTCTTCTCGAGAACTCTTTATCAAAGAAGAAAGTTCTTCAATTGCTCTCGATGATTTCACACAGTCTTAGAATCTACACTCTGATATCATGTAAAAAAGATATCACTCTTCAATATATTTGATATATAGGTGAAGCCTTATTTATAATTTATAAAAAAGCTATTCTAAGAAGGCTATAACAATTACACAAATCTAGCCTAGAATAATGGTAAATCAAATATTACAATTACACAAATCTAACCCAGAATAATAATAAATCAAATATTAAATATCTAATTTAAATTTCTCTATAATCTTTCCTTTAATATTCTGTTTACAGCCCATGCTAACAAAATTTACAAGATGAAAAAAAAAAATTGGCACCTTTTTTGCAAAGAAAAAAAAAGTATTTGGATTAGGATTAGTTAATTGAGATAATCAAATAAGTTATGTTAAATCCGACTAAAGGGCCAACTTCTTTGGATTAGTGAAAATTTGAACGAAAGAAAGAATCTATGATCATCCAAACAAATAAAAACTCTAATTTTCCCAAAAAAAAAAAAACATGTTTTAAAAAATATTTTTTAAAAGTTGATTTACACAAAACAAAGAGAACCTAAATTAAAGAACTAAATTGAGTTTGGTCCGGCCCCGAATCCTTTGACATAAAGCAAATCTTCCAACGGTCAAATGAAGTTTTAAGAACCCTGACGTTGCAAAGTCACACCAGCTCTTTCCTTCTTCGCTATTTCTCCATTAAAAACCTCTCTCTTACCTTCATCTTCATCAAGTTTACAAGCTTCAGGAGTCTTAACACCAGATCCAACCCTACACAATCTCCTTTTTTTTTTTTTATTTGTTTTATTTTGGTCTCTTACTTTCTTTATTCATCAACTTTGCATATTGTTTTACAGTTTCTTTCTTTTTTTTTTTTTTAACCTTATTTCTGAGGTTGGAGAATGGAGCACCAAAACATAGACTGGAACAACATAGAATCGAATTTCGAAGAAGATGACACCTACGAGAATATCCATGCGCCTAAATGGGTTGATCTCTCTGCTCCATGTGAACCTATAGATGATGAAGCATGGTTCTGCAAACCTGGTACAGCCAAGTGTCCTTGAACTCTGTTTGGTTTCTAAGAAAACAAATAAGTGTGAAAGATAACTTATTTCATGAACCCATATTTTAACTTTTTAAGAATTAGCAAGTTTCTTTTCATGGAACTTTTTTCTTACTCAAGAAGGTTAGTTTTAATGCAGGTTGCAAGCATCCAAAGTGTGCAGAAGATTATCTCAAATCAAAGCACTACACCAAGGTTCTAATCCAATTTAAATCTTTGGAACAAGGCTTTTATTTTATTTTTCATTGTAATCTGTATCTTGAATTTATACACTTTTTCCTGATTTGCATTTCCTTTTTCCTCTTTTTCAGGTGAAGCTCCTAAAGTCAATGACTATATCTGAAATTATTCCTTTCAGAGATAGAACTCGCAGGTGCAAATTTGTTCAGGAAACAATTCTCTAAAATTAAAAGCAACTATAAACCAGTAGCTTACATCAGCAGTTTCATGCAGCAACTTGTTCGAATTTTCACGCTCCGATCTCCTTTGTACCAAAAAAATTTAAAGCAACGATGAATCAAAAGATTTTTATTTGAAACTTAACAGTTAAGTTAACTAGTAGTTTATCTTTGTTGCAGAAAAGAAAAGGCTACAAATGGAGAAAATGGTCTAAACCTACACAAAGTTTAAATGATGACAATGAGAACAGGAACCCAAACTTATCTACTCCACCGCTCGGTGCCAAGACTATGCCAAAGAAAATGGCAAAGAAATCATCTATGGTGGAGAAAACTCAGTTGGATGATTTAAGAGACAATTCAGCCAAGTCTGATAGGAAGCGGCGTTTAAAGAGTACCTTCTCTGCGCGTAATTTAGTAGCAGGTCGAGAGATTTTAAAGCAGATCACTGAATTCTGCGTTCAATTGAAGAAAATGGCAAGCAAAGGTTCCGAAAAGAGAGCATCAGAGAAGGCTTCGGATGGTGTTTTGGGTGAATTGAAGGAGAGAGTTAGAGAAAACGAGAGGATGCCTCTGCTTTTGGTTAAAGAAAGGGAAGTCTAGACAGGAGTGTAAATGAAACAGGGGAAACAGAGAATTATTATTGCACATGCATCAAAAAGTTTTGTGACAGTAGGACCCAGTTGCATTATTTTTGTTTTTTGTGTTTTCATCAACAGATGATTAGTTAGTAGTTTTGTCATTTTTTTTTAACAAAAGGCCGCCTGAGTATAGGAAAATGTTTGCAGGTGCTAGGATTTCCCATCCTTTTCGTAACAAAGATAAAATATTTGTAACTTTTGTCAGGGTCGTCAAGAAATTTATTACTGTTTTTCCTGTAGATTTAACATCAACATAAAGGTTTTCTGCAACACAGTACCTAAAATATTTCTCAGATGGATCATTTTAGCCATATGCATCCTTTTTATCGTCATTAAAGGGCAACATTAGAAAGTCAACGGTTATTGCCCGGAAGCAGGAAAATAATTTTTTATTAAGTATCTCACATAACCTTTTGCTGTATCTTCCAGAATCTAAATTTGCCATAAAGCTCCCAGGAAAAGTCTGTTGACTTAGCTGGTGTTGAATAGTGAGAGATGGATCTTAAACATTTTAGCCATGAACATCCGCTGGAGCTCATCCAAGACCAGACTCGTCCAACTGAAGAACAAGAACAAGAAGAAGAAGAAGCTCGTTGCTTTGGGTGTAAGGAACTTTGCAGAGGGTCCAATCTATTGCTTCAGTGATTGCAAGTTTTATCTTCACAAGAAACGTGCCGAGTTAGCCCCCGAGGTTAGTCATTCCCTCCACCCTCGACACCCTCTTATTCTTCTATCAAAACCACCATATCTGATGTTACATGTTGCATTTGTAATTACTGTCATAAGTGTTGTTTTGGATTCGTTTACCATTGTGCTTCTTGTGAATTTTATCTGGACATCAATTGTGCTTTGATTCAACCATCCATTATAAACCATTTTTCCCACGAGCATCCATTGGCCTTATTTGAAAAGCTCCACGATCGAGCCTTTGTTCATTGCATCGGATGTGAAGGATGAGCATCAAGTCTGGTTTACAGATGTTTGGTTTGCGACGATTTTTATCTTCACAAGGAATGTGCCGAGCTACCCTATGAACTCAGTCACCCATATCACTGCTTACATTCTCTTTCTCTCTTGCCAAATCCACCAACTCATCAAAAGGGATGTTCATGCAAATTGTGCAAAATCAAATGGAAGGGATTTGTTTTATTACTGCTTCATATGAAAGTTTATCCGTACGCTTGAAGATGTTTTGTCGTTGAGATTAATTACAGCTGCAAGTCATGAACACCCGTGGACTCTTGTATCAAGACCAATCTCATCCATCTCTGATGCATATGGCACTGATGGAGACTGCACTCCCTATCTATGCCTCAAATGTAATCTTCTTGTTCACAAGAATTGCATTTCATTGCCCCACACCATCCGAATAACGTGACATTCTCACCCTATTTCTCATTTTTATTTTCTTCAGCAAAATCAATATGCAAAGCCAGAGTGCAGAATTTGTCACAAAGAGGTGAATTCAGAGTTCGGAAGTCACTATTGTTCTTCCACTGATTGCAATTATATTGCTCATGTGAATTGTGCAACCAATAAGAGTATTTGGGATGAAACAGCTGTGTTGGAAGCCAATGAATCAACAAAGTTTGATCACCGCTATTATCAATGAAATGAGTATTGGAGAGGATATAATAGCAACAGAAATCAACACATGCCTACCATGATCACAATTTAATTCTCACTTTTTTAATGGTGAGTTCAAATATGATTGTGATTGTGATGGCTGTATGAGGCCTATCTCAGCTCCTTTCTATAGTTGTGGACAATGTAGGTTTTTTCTCCATAGAAATTGTGCTGAGTTGCCTATGGAAATACAACACCCAAGTCACAAGAACTTGCTCACACTGGCAACGAATTACCTTGCATATTGCCATGCCTTTCTTCGCTTTCACCATGGATTTAGCTATAGATGTGACAGAGAACCCTGTCACTTTGAGATCGACATTCAATGTAGTTTACAACTGGATACATTGAGCCATCCAAGTTACGAGCACCTACTCTTTCTTGACCACGAGTATGAAGGGAATTGTAGTGCTTGTCCCAATTATATATGGGATGACAACAGTGCCTACAGATGTACGAAAGGTTGTAAATTCATCTTAGACTTTGCATGCATCACATTACCACTTACAGCTAGGTAAAAGTATGACAAACATCCTCTCTCTCTAACTTATCATGATGGTTCTAGCCCTAATCAATTTTATTGTGATATCAGTGAGGAAGAAAGGGATCCAAACCATTGGTTCCACTATTGTGCAGATTGTGATAACACTGTTCATCCAAAATGTGTTATTGGTGATCTCTCATTTATCAAGCTTGGGAACACATGCGAATGCTTAGCTCATTCACACCCCCTCACTTTTGTCAGGAACATTTGGAGCTGTCCTCGATGCAATGTATGCGGCAAGCTTTGTAATGGGCAGGTCCTTGAATGCAAAGAATCTGAATGCAATCTTATAGTCCATTGGAAATGCCATCATCTTTTAAAGACGCATAGAAATAGCACTCTAGATTTGATTTGAATAAAGGAAGTCATAGGTCAGGTACTTGCAACTATCAAAATTTTCTAGTATTACTCATGGTTCTTGTTTACATGTATCTCTTTTTCAATTTGGTTATGAGTCTGTTGCTTGATTACTCCAAAGTTTTTAGATCAAACATAACTTGCAGTCATGGTTGGAATTCCATAATTGTTCTATGTCACTTTGAAGTTCTATTGGCTCTTGAATATTGGTACTTGGTAGTAATATTTTTGTTAACTGGTATATATTCTATGCTATTGACAACAAAACTGTAGCCTATTTGAAGAATACTATTCTTATAGAGATTTGTCATGTCTAGTTATTGAGAAGGAAATGGACTTCAAGGGTGTAAAACATTTTTGATTAAGTACAGATTAAATTTCTTTAATTGTTTCCAAAATGCTTTCTTTGCAACATAATGTTAGACTAGATGAGTTACCTTTAGCTGCCTTTTTGCAACTATCTGCAGATCTAGTCACTCTAACTCCTCAAATTAATGTTAAACCTAAAGAGTGAAAATAGAGTTCTACTGTTTTTTTGACTGTATATAATTCTTCCTAACAATTATTTCTCGGGTATGATAGTTGTTGTTTTTGCATCATCTGCTAAATGAGAATCATTGAAGTGTTAGTGGTTGAATAGTTAGTTAAGTTGCCGTTTTATAGTTACAAAAAATGTATTGGTAGGTGAAACTTTTCTTTGAAATTTTCTTTTGTGAATTCTTTTTTTGAATCTGTGATTGTTATAATATTAATCAATAAACAAGTTTTCAGTCTGATTAAAATCGTTTCCCCTGGCCGTGCTGTAATTCTAGCAGATTTTATTGTGATCTGTAGAGCAAAGATTAATGAAACAGCGGACTGAAGATGACAGTTATTTTCATTTCTAGTTGATCCATAGGCTTTTTTTTTTTTTTAGTTTTTTCTGTTGGATAATTAGAAGTTTCATTTATAAACCGGAGCAGAATAAACTGTGTTAAGCATCCGATCGAAAACCATTTGACAATAGGCGGAGGGCCTAACTTAAATATAAGACCACAGGCAATCCAATATTTAATAAATGTGAAATAATACCATTTTAATGGTAACAGGCTCACATGTAGGTGAAGACAGAAGCCTTTCACGTGACATACTTGAAATGGGTAAGAGACTGGAGTAACAAGCAAGAACAGGCAATCCAATATTTAATAAATGTGAAATAATACCATTTCAAGAACAGGCAATCCAATATTTAATAAATGTGAAATAATACCATTTTAATGGTAACAGGCTCACATGTAGGTGAAGACAGAAGCCTTTCACGTGACATACTTGAAATGGGTAAGAGACTGGAGTAACAAGCAAGAACAATGGAACAAAATCTGGGCTTTGATGCCATGATAAGCGTCTAATCTAAAATCAATTGGCAATAGGTAGAAGGAGCTAACTTGAATATAAAACCATAAGCAATTCAATATTTAAAGGGATGTGGGATATCACCAACCACTTTAACAAACTGCTACTAGAGAACTGCAAAAAACAAGGGACTGACATATAGAAAAGTTTAAACTAGATACAAACTAAAACTGAATAAAATAGAGAAAAAAACTCAAATCATTCGCTGCGACATAGAAGCCTATTTTCTGTTGTATTGTCAAAGTTAGAGACAGTACCATTGATTCTGAATGTAAAATGTCTTGGACAGCTATAAAAATAGCATTAGAATTTTCTGGATTCCCCTCCATTTCATGCCAGTCTCAATATAAGTACTGCTAAGGCTTTACCTTTTTTGGTATCTTTGGCGCATTAGAATTTCAATGTTCTTTGTTATGGTTTGTATGCTCATCTGTACACAGTATTGAGAGTTGTCGGTAGTTAAGAATTGGTGACTGCATCAGTAGGACACACTAAATTGCCAATCAGATTTATAAATTTAGACACTTATGCAGAAGTTGCTTCAGAGGGTTTTTTTCTCTCCCCACCCCATAAAAGAACTAGACGCCTCATTGTTTCTATGCTATAAAAGTAAAACTAAGACCTGTTATGTTCTGCCCTATCAGAAAACAAAGAATTTACCAATTTGATCACTGCTATTGTAAAAGAAATGAGTCAGTCTAGGAAAGGATACAATAGCAACTGAGATCAAGCATTTCTGCTATGAACACAATTTACTTCTTACTTATAATGATAAGGTATGATGGGTGTATGAGGTCTATATCAACTACTTTCTATAGTTGCGAGCAATGTTTGTTTTTTCTCCATAGAAATTGTGCTTAATAAATTAATTACAATACAAATGTGATGATCAGATTGTTATCCACAGAGAAATATGATTCATAGTTTTGTCGTTAGACCTGTATGGCTCCCATTTGTCTTCTTTGGAAACAGTCAAACAAAATATCCAAATTGTTAGTAGCATTCCTATTTGTGAAATAAAGTGACTGATTTACAATTTCAGTGCTCTTTGATTTGGTTCTTATCAAAACCCAAAGATAAGAAAAAACAAACAAAACCATCCAGCCATGACGGTTTAGCTCAGCTTAGTTGGTGACACTGGCACCTTGTTGGAATTTTTCTGCTGTTTTTCCATTTCACTTCCTGTTTGCGGGGAATCTTTCTTCCTTGCCCATAGAAGATGGGTTTTTCCTTTTTAACGTGCATATTTAAGAGAAATATATGTCTTAAGTAACGTGAAGCCAGCTGATGAACGACTGCCATGTTGCCCTTCAAAATTAACCTTAATAAATTAATATATTCATCTCTTCCGCCTGATTCAATCGATATGTTCAATATTTAACACGAGAAATATCGTTTTTTTTTCATCATTTTCATTTTCATGTGGTTTTGGGGGTTGTAGAGTTGATTCACCCCATGTGCTTTCCTTTGTTTAAAAGCCATACATTTCACATTATTCTTTTTAAATCTTTATCTTAAAATTGACTACTTATACATCGGTTGACGTATAATTAAAGTTGGGGTTGGGAAGTGATGGGATTCAAAACAACTTGTAAGTAATTTTTTATTCAAGCCGAATAGTATAGAATAGAATACAGAAAGAACTAGAAAAAGGCTATTGAAAGACTTTATATGGGAATTAAAGTTAATGAATCATCAAGCAAAAGAATTAATATGGCAAGAAATCATTTCCATTTTTAAATCAATATCTTTCTTGCTTCTTTCCATTTTTTTGTTTTTGTTTTTTTTTTTTTAAATGAAGTATTTCTTTTTATTAAAATTTTAGGCAAAATGATTGGGTATCAAAATGACAAATTTGGCCTTGATTTGCTAACGGCTTTCTCATCCAAAACAGTTAAGTTATAGCCAGTCATTAGGTAGGCCAACAATGTTATTTACAGTAATATAAACACCAAAATGCCATGCCATCATTCAAACTTCCCCTGCGAGAGCCTTGGCGGCTTTTGTAATCAGAGCATTGACTCTTCTCCCATTGGCTGCCAAATTATTACTTGGTCCTTTTAATTCTCTTTTTAAAGCTTGTTTAATGCGAATCTTAAGAACAAGCGCCTTGCCCAACTGGTAATACGACAATTATTGCAGTGTTAAATTCTTTTTTTTTTTTTTTTTGTCAAAAGCTGCAAATCCAGATCTGGTTAAAGGTTAGCCATTGCTTCTAGATCACCAAATTTCAATCTTTGTTCAAAAGAATTTAACTTTTCTTCTATCAATTATGGTGAAATATTGCCCTGTTATTAGTTATGGCGATAATGATTTAATGGTTTTAATTCTAGAAATTATTTGTCATTTCTTGTTTTGAGTTTGATTTTTTTTTTTATCGGAGGTTGTATGAATTATGAAAATTTTGTTTGCTTTTATCAATAAAATATTACATTAGAGTTTTGTGATTTAGAACTGTAATTTTGAAAATATTTTAAGGTTGTCTTTGGCAACATAGTTTGAAAGGAGGGATTTGGATGTCAAATTCTGTAGTAATACTCTTCAACATTTGAGTTTTATGATTACACTCAAATTCATGGATTTATTACATTCTATTGAGTATTGAATTTGTAATACCTAAACAAAAAAGTGAATTTCAAATACATTTTTGAATACATTCATCCTTATGATTTGTAAAAGAAATAAATCCAAATTCACTCTCTAAAGCTTGTTTCCAACTGAAGCATATGGTTATTGTGCTTGTTTTCTAAAATTGCTTCCTGATTGATGCAGTAGGTGCTTGGATAGAGTGTGAGGGGTGAAGATACAAGAAATTTTTCATGTGAAATTCGCTGATTTGGTTCTCAATTAATAGAATAGATGCTTGAGATAATGTTTTCTGTTCAGAAGTGGAAATGCTCATGGTCTCTGGTGGCTACAGTTGCGTCTATTATAGCGCTAGTTTCAGTAGTTCATCTATTCCTGTTTCCTATCGTCCCTTCTTTTGATTACTTCATTTCCCGGCAAGTTCAGTACACATGTGTTCCAGTTAATGCATCAGTTGAACAGGGTGCTGATCATGTTTGGGGAAATATACACCAGGGTCTTGATTTAGATCACAGGTTTCCTTCTGACTTGCATAATGGAGTTGTTTATCATAATGCACCGTGGAAGGCAGAGATTGGGCGGTGGCTTTCTGGTTGTGATGCAATTGCTAGGGAAGTCAACATTGTTGAGGTAATTATCATGATTGTTAATTATCGTTCATCCTTCTTGTCTTACCAAGCAGCCCCCTCCCCTCTCTCTTGGATGGCTCTCTCTTTTGTGTGTGAGTAGCAATTTTAATTCAAGACTTCTTCTCTTAGGAAGTTTATATTTGTTATGCACAATCAGGTGGATGTGTATTTCTTAATTAAAAAATCTAGACTCTTTTAATGTTGCATCAACATCTTCATGACTTTTATACCATAAATATGTTCATTTTGGCAGAAAATAGGTGGTAGGCGCTGCAAAGATGACTGCAGTGGTCAAGGTGTTTGCAATCATGAATTGGGCCAATGTAGATGCTTTCATGGATTTACTGGTCAGTACTTGCATCCTTTCATTGTCTTTGTTTCAGTTAAACTTCTATAAGAAGCTTCACTGAAAGAAAAGCCTTATCCATTGCAAACACTGATAACATATAAACTTGATAAAATGAGGTGGACTATTATAGACTTGATAAAACTATAAAATACCAAGCACTTGACAAAGTCAAAAAGTTTTGGTACTAACCTTCTATTTGATACTGTTATTTACAATTTTATCTCAAAAGCAGTAGTACTTACAATGATGGAATAAATAGTCCTGTCCTGTTACTACTGCTCCTAGCTTCTAAAAGATTAGGCATAAGGCACCATGTAAGTCCTGGACATTTGGAACTGTACGTTTTGTCCATCTCTAGGATGATCAATTAAAGACCATTGATTTTAAAATATAATCAATGTAAATGTTAATAGCAAATTTAGGTTGATTATGGAGCTATAAATAATATAAGTGTTGTTTAAAATTGGCAGCATTTTGTTTTAACTTAAAAAAAATTCCTAAAATAATATGGTATTGCAAATAACACATTTGATGGAACAGGAGAAGAATGCTCTGAGAGGCTAAATTTGAGTTGCAACTACCCTAAAACACCAGAGCTGCCCTATGGACGATGGGGTGTCTCAATATGTTCTGCTCATTGTGACACTACAAGAGCTATGTGCTTTTGTGGAGAAGGCACAAAATATCCAAATCGTCCTGTGGCGGAGGCATGTGGGTTTCACATGAAGTAAGCATAGTCTGATTCCTAACATGTGCTTCATAGTATTTCTCTCTATCCTGAACATCATGAGCCACACTCCTTGTGTTGCCTTTATTTCAGCTTACCTGCTGAACCTGGTGGTCCTAAACTGACTGATTGGGCAAAAGCTGACCTGGATAATATTTTTACTACAAATGGTAGCAAACCAGGATGGTGTAACGTAGACCCAGATGCAGCATATGCTTCAAAAGTGCACTTCAAAGAGGAATGTGACTGCAAATATGATGGACTTTGGGGGCGTTTCTGTGAAGTGCCTGTTGAAAGTGTTTGCATCAATCAATGCTCTGGACATGGTCATTGCCGTGGTGGGTTTTGTCAGGTAATAGCTTTATACTTCTGTATGTTTCTATTAATAGTGGAACTTAATTTGCTTTTGGAAGGAGAAAAAATTGGTGAACAATCTTCGTTCCACCTACATTCATTTTTAGGCAAAGATATATGAGGGGCAGTAATAGATGAGGATAAAAAAGTATCAACTTTTGGAATAGCACAAAATTAGGGGACTACTTTGATTGTTGGAATGTAAATATTTTCTATAAATAACAAGCTTCATAAGTGTTTTTTTTAAATGATTTGGAAAGTTTAGGAGCACATTGAAAGGCTACATTACACTTTAGACTGCACTCCATGATTTGGGCAGGTTTAGAAATTGAATTTTTGCCCATGAGGATTGTTCCATTAGTGATGATCTGATCGCTAGAATAAGTAGAGAGTTTTATTGGTGTGTATTTTTGCTATTTTTGGATATTGGAGCGTATTTACCATTCAGTACTTGGTAACTTATAGGAAGTAAAATTTGAGTTGAATAAACATTCCATATTTAGTTTATGAGTAATCTGATTTTAAAAATCCTTATTGTATTGTGTTCCTTCATACATTTGATTTGAGTTAACCACCCTTTACATTGGAAAATATTTGGCTTCACTTGTGTCTTTCCTGCCTTTATTCAAAACTAAATCAAGTTTATTTTCAGTGCTATAATGGATGGTACGGGACAGACTGCAGTATTCCTTCAGTCGTATCTCCAATGGGAGAGTGGCCTAAGTGGCTCCGACCTGCTCAGGTCAATATTCCTGGTAATGAACTCTCAGGAAACCTTGTCAATCTCAATGCTGCGGTGAAAAAGAAAAGGCCCCTTCTCTATGTATATGATTTACCTCCTGAGTTCAACAGTTTACTTCTTGAGGTATGAATGAACAATATTTTGTATCTGATACTATCAAGAGCACAATTCTTATATTTGTCACTTAATTGACTGTTGTAGGGACGACATTTTAAGTTTCAGTGTGTAAACAGAATCTATGATGACAGGAATGCAACATTGTGGACAGATCAGTTGTATGGCTCCCAGGTATTATTCAAACTAGTATTAATGCAAAGCACCTAATAACCTGAATAATTGCTTAGAAATTTTCTTGATTCTATAAATTTCCAGATGGCACTCTATGAGAGTATTTTAGCTAGTTCATATCGAACATTAAATGGTGAAGAAGCAGATTTTTTCTTTGTTCCTGTTTTGGATGCTTGCATCATAACACGTGCTGATGATGCACCCCATTTGAGCATGGAGGTAAACTTCATAAGTTGTTATATTTCAGTCTATATCCTACTGTGTGAAAAAGAAATTATTGGATTTGGATTAGCATAATCTCTATTGCTTTCTATTTTGGGGGCTTTGTTCAATGTTCATTTCCTCTTTATGATTTTCAATTAAAAGTATAGATTATGATGCCATTGTTCCTGAGAGGAAATCTATAGACATACCAAGAGAGGGGTAGTTTTAACAAGTTCTTTTTTCAAATACTGAGTCTATCGGTTAGCATTGTTGATGCTTTATAACTTTTATTTTCTAAGAAAAATTTTAGATTGGGCTTTGGCCCACTCAAAATCCTTAAGGGTCAAAACCTCATAATTGTCAATATCAGTATCATCTATTCACCTCTCAGCAAAATTGTTTTTTCATGCAGGAACATCCACACGGCTTTATTTACTTTTTTATTTGAGCCCAGCTTCCCCATATTTATGTGCTTATTACTCTCTGATTTCAGAATCATACTGGCTTGAGGAGCTCTCTCACTCTGGAATTTTATAGGAATGCATATGATCACATTGTTGGGAAATATCCTTATTGGAACCACTCGGCAGGAAGAGACCATATTTGGGTATGATATAAAATTTTTTTCATTTGATGTGTGTGTCTATCTATCTAATTTTGTGTAGCTTTTTGCCGTATGTGTGCTAATCATGTCACCTTTATATCTGAAGGCAGTCTTTTTCGTGGGATGAAGGTGCTTGCTATGCCCCTAAGGAGATATGGAATAGTATGATGTTGGTTCATTGGGGTAATACGAATTCTAAGCACAACCACTCAACAACAGCCTACTGGGCTGACAACTGGGACAAGATTCCATCTGATAGAAGAGGCAACCATCCTTGTTTTGATCCTGATAAAGATCTCGTGCTTCCTGCTTGGAAACGCCCTGATGTTACTGCATTGATTGCCAAACTGTGGTCTAGGTACACATCCTATTGATTGCATTTGTCGAAACACCTATTAATACTTACTTTTCTCAAGTTGAAAAAACAAAACTCTTGGATTATTTATTTTCAGGCCTCGTGAGAAGAGGAAGACGCTTTTTTACTTCAATGGAAATCTAGGACCAGCTTACACAAGTGGAAGACCAGAAGCTACGTAAGTTGAATAAATGTTAATATGGATAAATTTGATAGGGGAAATTACATTTAAAGGGAATATGGACAATCTCCTCAGAGGATTCCAAAATGAACACCTTTCTTTTTGGTGCCTTAGCCTTCCTTTCTTCCATCTCCTACATCTTCATTAGCTAAAAGATCATTTTCTGATGTTTGAAGAATGTGTTTAATAAACTTTACGAGTCCTTACTTTTGGTGTCATTATTAAGAAACATGTTTGACTGATCTGGCAACCATTATCATTTAATTGTTGGTTTTCAGTCGTCACATGGCAGCAGATATGCATTTAGTAAGTTTCAAATCTTGGAAATTACCTATGGATGGTTTTGGTGTTCGTGCAGGTATAGCATGGGGATCAGACAGAAACTGGCAGATGAGTTTGGTTCGACCCCTAACAAGGAGGGAAAACTAGGGACACAGCATGCAGAAGATGTGATTGTAACTCCTCTTCGTGCTGAAAACTATCATGAAGACATAGCCAATTCTATTTTCTGTGGTGTGCTGCCTGGGGATGGTTGGAGTGGTCGTATGGAAGATAGTGTTTTGCAAGGATGCATTCCTGTGGTTATTCAGGTAGTGCATTAATATATGTTGTTGTAGCTCTTATAGCTACCTGATCTTGCCAGATTATGGGTTTAGAGAAGCATTTAATAGCAGCATATACTTCTTTGATAATGTACGAGACTTGGGTGCTTCCTATGTTAGAGTGTCAAATGACATTCTGCATCCATTATGGGCAATTGTCATACTTCACTGAATTATGGCTTCATCTTTCTGCTTTGCACCTAAAATATTTGGTAATATAAAATATAAAACTTTGAATTTTTAAATTCATTTTTACTTGCAACTTAAGGTAGCTTCATGGAGGGCATTGCTTAATGGCGTTTGGCTCCCTTAGGCAGATATTCAGAATGCAGAACTTATTCTATATGGCTTTATTAGATGTGAGCTTGGTAGTTTTGTAAAAGACCTCATATAAAAGAACTATTCTCAGGCTGTTGCATGTTAGTTTTCTCAACAAGTTCAGCTCAAAAGTTTTTTGTGGATGTGCTATCAATTAACATGGTTGCTGGAGCAATTTGGTTTGCCAAAGATGCAACCTGACAACTTATGAATAAATAACCTAATTGCTGAGATCAATAGTTTTACTGTTTGATTGACCATGATAATTAAAAATTTGACATTAGTTACCAAGAAACTGTAATTTGCATTAGCCCACATCCTGAATTTGGTAGGCTTCCATTCTCTCAAGACTAATTTCAATGAGAAAAATGCATGGTGGTGCAAAGATTGGCCATGATTTGCTATGAGCATTGATAAAATGCTCTTAAGTTGTTGCAGTGGGGATTTTATCCTTCCCCTCTGAATAAGATTTCTTGTAGCAATTCTTACGATTGCACTTCGAGAACAAGCCAATGTTGAGTTCCTGAAATATGCTATCTGAAAAGAATATTGCTGTAAGAGAAAAGGATAACTTTGTTCTGATTATGAAGTAGGTATCTAACCTGTTGAAGTGGCTAACATCACTCTTACTGGGAGAAGAACATTAACTTATCACCTTTATCCAGTTGTTGTCTTTATCACCTTCAAATTAGAACTGTTAACTTGATGTTATGGGTTTCACATTCAGGCTTCAGGGGAGTGCGCATTGATAGTTTAAGAGTCGGAACAATTGAATTCACTGGCAATTATATAGATCATTATGTTGCCAATACACTTGAATGATTTCCCCTCCAGTTCTAGGGTTCTTTTACATCTTGGATTTCTAACTTCTATCTTTACCTACTTAAAAGAATGACATGATTCATCATCTTTATTCTGGTTTGTTCCCTTTTTTATTTCTTATCTCCTCATGTATAGGATGGGATCTTCCTGCCGTACGAGAATATGCTCAACTATGAGAGCTTTGCTGTTAGAATACATGAAGATGAAATTCCAAATTTGATCAAGATTCTTCGGGTTTGTCATTTTAGGTCTTATAAACTGGAACACAGAAAGTTGGTAGTTTTTTTTTCTAGCTGACTGTTTGGTGGCCTTTATATCTTGCAGGGAATCAATGAAACAGAAATAGAAATCAAGTTGACCAACGTACAGAAAATATGGCAGAGGTTCCTCTATCGTAATTCTATTTTGCTAGAAGCTGAGAGGCAAAAAACTGGCTTTGGCCGAGTGGAGGATTGGGCAATTCAATTCTTGCAACAAACTGAAGATGACGTCTTTACAACATTTTTACAGGTATTCTTCCTTCTGTACTGAATATAAAGCTCTTTTTTCCCCAATCTATGCAGTGACAACTGTGAAGTTGATGTTAATTTTCTGCATTGTGGTACATCTGAGAATATGACCAATATACAACCTCTGTACCTTGAAATAGGTTTATTCTTTGAGAAGTTTTAGTAAAGTGACCAAAGGTAAAGAAATATCTAACACCTTTGCTTACAGTAGAATCTTGTAGCAGTTTCGTCAACATATTTGTAGAATTTATATTCCCCACAACACTTTATTTCTCAGTAGAGTATGAGCTCACTGGTACATAAGGGTTGAATCTTATCAGCCAAGCAAAACCATACGTACTAAGATCCAAGAGCATAAGCTTTTCAAGAAGTTCTTGGCCAATGAGGTTCATCCGGCCTAAGATAACTTGGAAGAATAAAATTTACTTTGGCTATTTCAAGAAATGAATTGTTATGATGTGAGTGAAGTTAGAATTCATGTGAGCTTCAGTAATATCTATTAAGTACTGGGTTAATGTCATGAATGGCCTTTGAACTATAGTAAAATGTTAAATGTGATACCTGAACTTTAAAAATCTCTATTATGGTACCTAAACTATGAATTTGTTAACTAATGTGGTACTAACATCAATAGTTCCAAATGATGACATATGGCTGATAAATAGCCCTCCAAGTACCACATTAGTTAACAAATTCATAGTTTAGGTACCACATTAGATATTTTTAAAGTTCAAGTACTACATTGAACATTTCACTATAATTCGGGAGCCATTCATAACATTATCCCTTAAGTAATATAAGGTTAAGGTATCAGGGCAAATAACTGGACTTGGTCTGATCGTAATTCATGGCAGTTCAAATTGTTTATAACATTTTTTGGATGATCATATTCATCTGATAACTCACTAAAGTTCTCATTTTATTTCTCCTTGATGACACCCTATATATTTATGTTATTTCCCCTGCATTTTAAAATCGCTATATTTTCTTTAGAACTAATTGCTGTGCATCTAAACAAATACGGATTAGGCAATTCTGTAGCTTTCTTCCTATTAAAGTTCAAAAGAGCAAAATCTCTCTCTCTCTCTCTTCCTCTTCAAGTTTGTAGTATTTTGTCCCGTTGACACTTGTAAATTTGTGCAGTCAACTAAAATTATCCTTCAGGCTTAGTTCTTATAGCTGCATAAACTGCTTCTCTCTCATTTGTGCGGGGTTGTGGATTCCTATGGAATGTTAAAATAATAACCACACATGTTTATTTGGAATCCTAGAATCACTTTTTCTTATGCACAATGTGGTAGTTGGAGTGTTTGGTGGGGTTCAGGGTTCAAAATATGCAGTGAAACTCTTCAGCGATGATGCCTTGTGTCCTTGCATGGACATGACAGTTACCTCTCTGCAGTGTTCTGTTCTCTCTGTAGTTTGAATATGCGGTTTGACCACCAAAGAACCAATGATGCATGCTTTTGTATGTACGTTTTAAAGTGTTGAATGTGCTCTAAATTTGCGCTACATGACCTAAGGTCTCAACGGTGTTTAGGTTTTCTTAATCTATATGGACATATTTATTTGTGTTTGTGTTTTTATTTTTTGTGTAAGTACATCATGCTAACCTGTTTTTATTGTCATGACTAGGTTTTGCACTACAAGTTACATAATGACCCTTGGAGGCGGCAACCTGCTAACCTTAAAAAGGAGTATGGATTACCACCAGAATGCTTGATAAGAACCAAGTGAAGAGCTATAAACTAACGTATATAGCAGCAGCTAAAGTGGCCAAAAACGAATGTACATGAATCAACCATTCTTAGCTTCTTGCAAAGAATTGAGTTTCAGAGCTTAAGAGTGTGTAAAAACTGGTCAGGTGGATGGATATCAACAAGAAAGCCTGATATCCCAATAGATATGCCAATTGATGCAAGATTCTCAACCAAACAGAAGTAGATGCAGAACATAGGATTTTGTTACAATTTTTTAACAGTATTTAGAAGAGTAAGAAGAATGGAAAATTGTTTGGGCAGTGTGCGTTTTAGCAGAAGAGATGTGCATGTTGAAACCCTTTATAATATTCTTTTTATATTATTTGTATGTCAACTTGATTTTTGTCTATTCAAACATCATGCACTTTGGCCTTTCCCCTTTTCTTCTCTTACTATTTTTTTTCTCACTTCCATAAAAAATTTATACTGAAAAACCTGTTTAAAGGATTGGAAAATCGCTTTAAAAGAATTCATATATATAAATTAGTGACTAATTGGGTACTAATTCAACTTAAAATATTTGATGTCTTTAATTTTATGCCTAATATATATTTTACCAACATTTGTATTATATTAACGTCAATAAGTCTATTGTTTTGGACATTTTCCAATTTAATATATAGTCGATTCTCAATTAAAATGTTTTTAAGCCGTTTAGATGTTAGAAGTATATCATCTATAATTATTATAAATAAATAATTAATTATATTTCAGAATTATATAAGATTTATTAAAATTTTATCTGTAATTCATATTTATAAATAATAAATCTCTATATAATTTTTTTCATTATGATAGAATATTATAAAATTGTATAAAAAATTATACTTCTAATTCTGGCCATAAAAAAGTATAAAAAAAAATCAAGTTTCAGTCAATACTATGAAAATACTACAAGGACTTTCATGAAAAAAAAAAACCCCCTTCAAGCAAGGGGCAAGCAGAGCAACTCTATCCCTCTCCACTTGCACATCCACACGATTCCAAAACTAAAAACCCCTCGTAAGCCTAATGTTTCTACTCTTTTTTATTCCACGTGTTATCCATCACAGGCACCATTTGATGACCAAACCGTAACTCAATCACTCCCCGCCACCAAGCCCTCCTTCCCTTCAAAACCCCTCTGTTTACCGCGCTCTTTTTTCTCTCGCGTGTCCTTTTTTTTCCTCTTCAGTTTTTACCTTGAAACTCTCATCTCTAGCTCTCGACCCCTGCCCAGTCGCCACCTCAAGATGGGGCAATCAGAGGCCCAGTTTCCAATTTCACCACCACCGCTCGTTGTCTGCTCCTTGAAGCCCCCCGCCGGTGAGTCGCTGAGACTAATCGGGTCGCTGAGTCAGGTATCCGGCCTGTTGGGATCTCAGTGGGGTGATGAAGGCAAAGGCAAGCTTGTTGATATCTTGAGTGAGCACTTCGACATCGTCGCTCGCTGCCAGTTACTACTATTATACGCGTATTTCATACGTATTATATATTTGTTCTGTTTTGTTTTTGGTTTCATGACCAAAAGGTACTTTGTAGATACTATAAAACAAACAGTTTATGTCTAATTTTTGATTGGTGATTGGTGTCTGGAAGAGTGTTTATGGTCATGTGTACAGAATGTTAAACTATGGAAATGTGATTAACCCACAACTCTAATTGCTATACATTTGGACTGTAATTCTCCATTAAATTTTTTCTTCTTAGACAGGACCCTTTAACTTGACCCTTTACTTCAAATTACAGCTAATTTTGGGAACTTTTTCAGATCATATGTAATGTGGTATGACTTGCCCTTGCATATGAGTTCGATTGTTCATATGATAACATTCTTTGTGCACTTCTACCTCTACAACATAAGCACATGCTGAAATGTGTTATTTTAGATAGAGCTTGACTACATTTTATAATGATATGTAAGATTTTAATTAGCAAGCTTGAATTTGTGGTTTCTAATTAGTCATTGCAAGTAGCAGCCTTCTCAGTGTTGGACATTTTTCTGATTTCAGGGTGGAGCTAATGCTGGACATACCATCTATAATTCAGAGGGAGAGAAGTTTGCCCTTCACCTTGTTCCTTCCAGCATCCTTAACAAAGAGACTCTGTGTTACTGGAAATGGAGTAGTGGTACATTTGCCTGGTCTATTCAAAGAAATTGATGGTTTGGAAGCTAATGGGGTATCCTGCAAAGGAAGGATATTGGTATCTGACTGTGCTCACTTGCTATTTGATTTTCATCAAGTAGTTGATGGACTTAGGGAAGTGGAGCTTGCTAAGTCATTGATTGGCACAACTAGAAGAGGAGTTGGACCTTGTTACTCAAACAAGATGATCAGGAATGGCATTAGAGTAAGTAACTTCCGGCACATGGATACTTTCCCTAAGAAACTTGATATTTTATTATCAGATGCAGCTTCAAGGTTCCCTGGTTTTGACTATACCCCAGAAATGCTCAGGGAAGAGGTTCAAAATTACAAGAGATTTGCTGAGAGGTTGGAGTTTGTCATTGCTGATACTTTGCATGTGATGAATGAATTGATTACACAGAAAAAGAGGATATTGGTGGAAGGTGGCCAGGCAACTATGCTGGACATTGATTTTGGCACTTATCCCTTTGTAACTTCCTCAAGCCCATCAGCTGGTGGAATCTGCACTGGAGTTGGTATTGCTCCAAGAGTTCTGGGTGATCTAATTGGAGTTGTAAGTGAATGATTTTACTTTTGTTTACTTTTCTTGGTTTCTTTGTCAGAGAGTTGATTTGTTGTATGGTTGGTGGACATGGTATGAATTACGGGCAGACACAAAATCAAATGGTTCTAAATATAGCTGTTGGTTTTAATGCATAAAATATGTTTAACTTCATTCATTTTCCTCTCTTAAACACTCTGTGTGCAGGTAAAGGCATATACCACAAGAGTTGGCTCTGGTCCTTTCCCAACAGAAATCCTGGGTCAAGGGTTGACATCCTTAGGTTTGCTGGGCAGGAGTTTGGCACAACTACCGGTCACCCTCGTTGTTGTGGTTGGCTCGATATAGTTGCCCTTAAGTTCTGCTGTCAGATAAATGGCTTTTCTTCTCTAAACCTCACCAAACTTGATGTTTTGTCAGATCTTCCTGAAATTAGATTGGGTGTTGCTTATAAACAAGTTGATGGTACAGCAGTGCAATCATTCCCAGCTGATCTTCATCTTCTTGAGCAGTTGAAGGTCAGTGAACTGTCTGACATAATTGACACTGATCAGATTTTACATTTGTAATTTTATTTTTTGCTTTTAATTATTTAAAACCTAACTTCTTCAGTTGTCTTATTGATGCTGCATTCTAAGTTTAAATTAAGACCCAACTGGAAGTCCTTGAAAGATAGGCACCATGTAAGTGAATACCATAAATTGATTGCTTTTTCTTCTTTAAGCTATCCATTAATGGATGCAATTTTGATAGTTTTGCAATCTCCATTATGGACAGAGACACCGTTAGAGGTTGCACTATCTATGAAAATGATAAATAATTTGTTTTATGCTACTCAGAATGCAAACAATGAATGTTAGATGCATTTGCAATTACTAGGTTGTTCACTTTTGCTATTTCTCTAGCAGTTGTCAAGCACTCTTGTTAATTCATTTGCTTCCTATGTGTTTAGGTTGAATATGAAGTTTTTCCTGGATGGAAGTGTGATATTTCTTCTATCAGAAACTATTCAGATCTTCCAAAGGCTGTACGTCAATATGTTGAGAGGATAGAGGAACTTGTTGGTGTGCCTGTCCATTACATTGGTGTTGGACCTGGTCGGGATGCTCTTATTTTCAAATAATTGACAATTTTCTATTATATTATTGTTAGTTGATTTTCTTGCAATCAGGCAAAACATACTATTAGTGCCGCAAAAATTATAATCCCTTTATGAGTGGGAAATTTTTGGGACGAATTTAGGGCAAGACATAAATTTGTTACAAATATCTTCACATATGCAGGTTACTTGGAAATGGGATTTCGATCTCTATATGAAATGAATGTCCAGGGTTTCAATCTGCTTGAGGATAATTGGTTTAAGTATTAGTGCTTGAAGTCTCTTTGATTGCAGTGGTAAGTGCAGGAGAGTTCAAAGGGGTTTATATGTAAGAGCAATTTTGTAAGTGGTAGCTTCGTGTAATGCATGGGTTTTGGCCGTGCATTGTTGGCTAACCCTTGTTTATACACGAGGATTTTGACCTCACCCATCTAATTGATCTTCTCATCGTGTCCATCTCAAGATTTGAAAGTCGACAATTGTTCTATCCCTTTTTTAAGATAGAAGTTTTGTTATCTCTCTTCACTTGAAATTCATTAACTGAAGATGTGGTTTCAGTAATTTCTAAAATTTGGATAATGTATGGGAAATAGTGATGTAAATTTATTTGCCTGATTGATACTCGTGAAAGAAATATTTTGGAAGTAACTTGATTACTTTTTACAGGGTGCAATAACTTAGCAGATTTATGAGCTGCTCTTTTCAAGTATTTTCTTCTTGTCTTAATTATTTATTCGTATTGTTTTTAATCACTGATATTCAGTTTGTACTGTTAATTGGTTTGATCCTGTAAGTGAACCCTACCAAGTACCAACCGGACTGTTTGATCAACTTAATTTTCTTCTAACTATAATGTTATGTTAGATGCTTTTAACTTTTAGTAGTATTCTCTTGTGCTCTGTCTCTGGGAATCCTTACTGAGTTTGGCAAAAGACAAAATTGCAGAAAAGCCAACTAATCCAATGAAGTGAAGGTGATAGTTAAAGTCGACACTTGATCTGTTCCGATCAGACAAATCGGTCAGAAAACAACTTTCCCGCCGGTAACTGGAATACTGAACTTCCACCTCCCTTCTGCTCTCAGAAACTTTTCTAGAAATGCCACTAGTATCAAATCTTTATCCTAGCTCAATGCCAACTGAAAAATGTTGATTACTACTGTTCTAGAAGTTCCAAATAGAAGTAGGAAAAGTAAGCTCTTCTTGAATATCATGAACTTGGAAGCCGGCCTCTACTCCTTGGTAGTCAGCAACTTCATGCATCTCAATCATAGCATCCCAATTGAAGCTGTTCTCTGCAATGGCAGCTAATTCATCATAATCTTTTATCAAGGAATCTGTTGCTGTTAAACTTTCTGTACTACCAACTCCTTCAGAGTGGTTTTCTTCGCTCAGTATTCCCAGCTGCTGAAGGAACTCATGCAAATCTATCTGCGGTCTATCCTCATAAGCTCCCGCCATTTTTTCTGATGAAATTCTAACATCCTTCTCATTCATTTGACGATCTTCTGCAGGGGTTTCATTATTTACAATCTGAATGTCAGTTTTTGAGTCACATGAAGGTGAGCTTGAACACCCGGTCTGACTTAAAACCCCA